GCTCAGGAGCTCGGCCAGAAGACTACTCTCCACACCAAGCGTGATGTCTCAACACCACTGCGTAGCACTGAGAACGGTATTGTCGACCAAGTACTGTTCACTACCAATACTGAGGGACTGCGCTTCGTCAAGGTCCGTACACGAACGACCAAGGTGCCGCAAATCGGTGACAAGTTCGCTTCTCGTCACGGACAAAAGGGAACCATTGGTATCACTTACCGTCAAGAAGACATGCCGTTCTCCAAGGAAGGCCTCACCCCCGATCTGATCATCAACCCCCACGCCATTCCCTCCCGTATGACAATTGCCCATTTGATCGAGTGTCTACTCTCCAAAGTCGGCGCCATCACCGGACAAGAAGGAGACGCCACCCCCTTCACCGACATCACCGTCGACCAAGTCTCCGGTCTGCTCGAAGACGCCGGCTACCAAAAGCGCGGTTTCGAAATCATGTACAACGGGCACACCGGCAAGAAGATGCGCACGCAGATCTTCTTGGGCCCGACATACTACCAGCGTCTCAGGCATATGGTCGACGACAAGATCCACGCTCGTGCGCGTGGTCCCCTTCAAATTCTCACTCGCCAGCCTGTTGAGGGTCGTGCTAGGGACGGTGGCCTTCGTTTTGGCGAGATGGAACGTGATTGTATGATTGCACACGGCGCCGCCGCCTTCTTGAAAGAACGTCTCTTTACCGTCTCAGACGCGTACACCGTACACGTGTGCGACATCTGCGGTCTGATGAGTCCTATTGCGTAAGTTTTCCCCTCTCCCACATCTCCCCATCTCTCTCACCTAAACACTCTTACTAACTTTTCAAATCCAGCCAACTCAAAAAGGGCCTCTACGAATGCCGCCCCTGCCACAACAAAACCCGCATCTCCCAAATCCACATCCCCTACGCTGCCAAGCTGCTCTTCCAGGAACTCCTCGCCATGAACATTGCCACGAGAATGTTTACCGATCGCTCTGGATTGAGCGTCCGTGACTAGTCGTTGTCGGACGCTATGGACAGGCTTAGCCTGTCTTCTGAGCGGAAAACTGGTCGGGGGTATTCTTACTTTCGGGTTTTCTCGTAGTCGTGTTTGTTTTTTTCTGCATGATCATGGCGTTTTTTTGAAGTTTTTTTGTCGAAGGTTGGCAGAATGAATTGAAAGAGGAAATACAAGGCTGCCGTTGGAGGTTTTAGCCTGGCGTTTTTAAGTTGCGAGCGCTTTTTCTCATCTATGCGGGGGTTTAATCAGAGGCGAATCGAATAAGACAAAAACTGCATGTGATTAAAGACGAAGTAACAATAATCTGTTTTGTAAATCAACGTAGACTGGAATCAAGGATGCTACTTTCCCAGATGGTGTTCACCACAAAGCCATCAAGCGAGATACGTTGTACGAATCGGCATTATTGTGTTGCCTACTGCTTGGTATCTGTACTATCTATCCACACGGTCCTGTGTACGCCTTACCGAATGATTACCACCGCTCTCGTCATCATCAATATCACTCACTTCTTGAGTCCATCAAACGCAACGAGCGTCTCATCATCGTCAAACGCAAACGACCAATCCTCGTCACTATCATAAGCCTCCTCGACACCCTCGATATCGTCACCAGCGTCGTCCCCAGCTAATTGCCGCTCTCTTTCTCTTTCTTCATAACGTTCGATTTCCTATAATTCGTCCTGCGTCAAGTATGGTCCTTCTGGGGGCACGGGGAGCAAGAAGATGCGGGGGAAAGCTCGCTACGCTCCGCCGCCGAGCAGGTGCTCGATTGCGCCTTGGACGTTGCCGCCGCTGCGCCGCAGGGCGGCGACGTTGCGGTCGAACTCGTAGAAGCCCATTTCGTTGAGCTGCCTGAGTTGTACCTCGTAGATTTCCTCAGGTGGCCGGTTGTCTGCTGGGGCTGGTGGGGCACCGAAGCCGCCTGCGCCGCCGAATCCGCCGGGGCCGAAGAGTGCGGCGAAGGGGTTGCCGCCGGCTTGTTGGCCTGCTTCGCCTCCTGGAGCTCCTGCTGCGTCTTGTCCACCAAAGGCTGCGAATGGGTTTGCTCCTGCACCTCCTGCACCGCCCATCATCTGCATCATGTTGCGCATGGCTTCTGGATCCTGCATCATCCTCTGGGCGGCCGCCGCGAATGGGTTCGCTTGTCCGCCTTGTGCGCCAGCTCCACCAAACAAGTTGGGAAAGGTGCCCGAGGCGTCTTGTGTGTTTTGTGCCGCACCACCCTGTTGCTGAGGAGCCAAAGGATTCTGGCCTCCAGCAAACAGATTGGCGAACGGGTTTGCTCCAGCGCCTGCGGCACCACCGGCTGTACCGAATGCGGAGAATGGGTCTGTTGGTCCGGTCGTATTAGGCTGGTTCGGTGTCGCGGTTGTGCCTTCGCCTGTTGCAGTCGAACCTGGCTGTGTAGTGTTGTCGGTAGCTCCTGGAGCTGGGAAACTCGGGCCCGTGGGGCCCATATTCCGCTGCATCTGCAGTTGCATGCGCATCATCTCTGGGCTGAACATCATACGGCGCATTTCGGGGTTTCGGAGGACTTGCTGAAGCATCGGGTTGTCGCGGATCTATCTCAGATTAGACAATGCATAGTTGAAAGAGGAAGTAAACTTACCATGGGGCTCTGCAGCATCATTTCTACTACTGCTGGGTTGTTCATAGCCTCGTTCATCTGCGATAGAAACATGGGGTTCTCCATTTGCTCTAGTAACGCTTCTGGGTTTGTAGGAGGGCCGCCCATCTACCACGTGTCAGTAAATTTCTATGTCGAATCTCGGTTTGATCTAGACTTACGCCACCGTCTGGTCCGAAAGTGTCCATGCCTGGTAGGCCGTGGAAACCGGCATAACGCGCGCCTGTGAGCCCAGCGAGGGGGTTGTTGCCTGTTCCTGCAGCAATGTTGGTCGGCACCTGTGGCGTCTGGGTGTTGCCCCCGCTTGCTGTGCCTGCCGTGCCTTGGTTTCGTACGTTGCTGGCGGCACCCTTGACGAGATGGACTGTGTGGCCATCCTTGATCTTGACGCTAGCGAGTGTGTCGTGGTCCTTCAGTACGCGACCGGAGTATATCAGGCGTTGGCGTTCGGCGGGAACATCTGCGTATTCCGACGTCGAGAGCTTGGCCTTGAGGTCGGCAACTGTGGTGGTTTGGGCTAGTGTGAGAACGTGCTTCTGGTCGTTTGCAGCCTTGACATTGAAGGTGATCTGCGTGTCCTCGGTGGTTGTGGCGGCGTCGTCGGCCATGGTCGCTGATTTACGAGCGTGGGGTAGTGATAGGAAGCTCTACAAGCACTGGGAGGAATAGAGCAGCCTGGGTATGACTGTTGACTGTGAATTAATACGTGTCCTTGGCGAATGTGAGTGGTGTATAGCAGCAGAGATGTTTGACTGTGCGAGAGGCCGTCATTAGCTTTGGATAGGATTGGAAGGCAGTAGAACGTCACTGGACCCGCACCTGGTACCCTGCCGTTTTTAGCGCGCGCCCGTGCATATCGCGCGGCTTCCGCTTACTAAGACATGCGCGCCAAGCTTCCGGGTGGGGGCAGGAGCGGAGGTTGACCGGGGAAGCCAGCCGAGGTATCTTTTGAGCGTTGAGTAGCTGTCGGCCGTCATGCAAGCTACAATGGCGTCCGCGACGAATCTAACTACCCGACATCGTCTTCGAGTTCCTGACTGAACCCTTTCCTACACACCACAATAAAGCTGTTTGCTACCATACATATCGCGCTTCACAACAATCAAACTTCATCATGAAAGGCATACAGATCAAGGAATATGTCTCGGTAAGCATCCTACCTAGCAATTTACCAGCTTCAAGCTTCATCTCTAACTCTCCCAGGGGCCAGAGGATCTCAAGGTCCTCGATCTCCCGACCCCGACTCCCAAATCGAACGAGTACCTAATCGCCATCCACGCCTCAGCAACCAACTTCTTCGATCTCCTCCAGATCCGCGGCAAATACCAACACCAACCTGCATTCCCCTGGATAGCCGGTTCAGAGTTCTCCGGAGTTGTCCTCAAAGCACCGACCTCGCTCGCAGGAGGCAAGACACCAAAGTTCAAGGAGGGCGACAAGGTCTTTGGTGCTTCCCAAGGCGGCTACGCAACACACATCGTTTGCACAGAGGAGAGACTCAAGCCCGTGCCCGAGGGATGGAGTTTTGAGGATGCCGCTGGTGTATTTGTTACAGCGCCGACGAGCTATGCCGGTCTGGTAACTAGAGCAGGGATCAAGAAGGGTAAGCATCGGAACTCCGAACCCTGTTTATCTTCCTATGGGGAAATTAATACTACTTTGCAGGCGACTGGGTACTCGTCCACGCAGCTGCCGGTGGCGTCGGTCTCGCCGCCGTGCAAATCGCCAAAGCCTTCGGCGCAACCGTCGTAGCCACAGCTGGCACATCACACAAACTCGACGTCGCGCGTTCCTTTGGCGCAGATTACGCCGTCTCCTACCGCGACAAAGATTGGCCCGAGCAAGTCAAGAAGCTCACTCCCAAGGGCCGTGGCGTGGATATCGTATACGACCCCGTCGGTTTGATCGCTCAGTCCATGAAATGCACAGCCTGGAACGGCAGACTTCTGGTCATCGGATTTGCGGCAGGCGATATCGAGAAGATGGCTACGAACCGCATCTTGCTCAAGAACGTTAGTGTTGTTGGGTTGCATTGGGGTGCGTATGCGATCAATGAGCCGGAGATGCAGGATAAGGTTTGGGACGGTATCTTCCAGCTTGTCAAGGAAGGGAAATACAAGGGCACTGCTTTTACCGATGTGGAATATGTTGGACTTGACAGTGTACCCGCGGCGCTGAAGGCATTGGGTGGTCGCAATAGCTGGGGTAAGGTTGTTGTCAAGGTACCACAAGAGGGTGGAAGCAAGATGTAAAGTGCCTGGCAGAATCATTTGTTAAGCTATGCGCAAAGTGCCTCGCAGAATCATTCGTTAAGCTATGCGCAGAGTCCGGCATAAGATTGCGATCGCGTACATGAACAGCTGCTTTGGGGCGGCATTATAATTTGGCAAACTGCCTGTTCTTCCACATACGACCATAGGATCATGAAAATTAGGCTTCCCGTCCGCTCAGCCATATACAAGCATGATACCGGCGGATTAGTAGTTAGGTGGGTGACCACTAGCGAATCCCCGCTGTTGTATGTTTTTGCCAAATAGGCTTTCTTTTTGCCCATCATAGTCCACGCAGTCGAACAGCCTGAATTACGGCATAGACTACTCCACCACTCTCGTCCTAACATACCGCAGCGTCCTCACCTCAAAATCATTACAATCATTGCACGAAGGTCCAGGCCGCAAAAGCCTACGATCACGCCTCGATACCACAGTCTCTCCCAAATCCCTCTTCCACCGCCTTTCCATTGCATCCCCATCCCAAACTAATGCCCACTCTTTCCCCTTCCCCTCTTCTTCCCCATCACCACCAAACGCAAACCTCCACATCTTCGCATACTGTACAACGCGTTCCAACTCCTCCTTCCTCGCCTCGAACGTCTCCAGCACCAACTCCAGCGTCTTCAGATCAGGCAACGCAGAAACGACATGTGCGCCCCAAGATTGCGGGTTGAGCCGCGGATGCCGACCAGCCTTGCGCTGTTCAGCACGCAGACGCATGGCTTTGCCCGAGGGGCGGCCCTCGTTGAGGTCGTAGCGCCCGAACGACGGGTCGAGATGGAGGTTTACGGCTACGTTCCATGTTGACCAGTCTGTGCGTGTGAGTCGCAGAGTGAGATGGGTTAGGGGTTGTGCGAGGGTGATGTGGAGGGCACGAGATGATGGTAGCATGGATTCCGCGGGGGTGGGAAGACGGTTCAGAATATCGTCTAGTCGTTGAGGTTGTGTATTTGGCAAGTCGACGACGGATGGTACAAGAACATTGTCATCGAGAGTGCGTGAGCATCCCTCTATCTTCTCCCATCCATCATCACGGAAACAGTGCAGAGGCACCACGTATGCGCCCTGCTGTCTAGCAATGCCTCCCATCGCTTTCAACACATCCCTCAGCTTCTCGTTTTCCAGCTCACGCTGCTTGATTGTGATGTCCAGTCCGCGTATCTGTGCTAGTTGCCATGCTGACATTCTGGCGCTTTGAAGATTACGAGATGCACCCATGCGGTATGCATTCACTCTCAATGACAAATTCCACGTTTCTAGATACACCGCTTTACAAGTCAAGAGGAGGGAGACTGTTGTATCAGGAGCATGCAAAGGTCTCCCGCCAGCCAAACTCCTAGCATTTTGACCGTGACCGAGGTATTTGACGTGAACGACTGGTATGGGATCTTTGGGGCCAAGGTAGTCGATGGGATAGGAGGCTGTGTCTTTGAGAGCGTAGGCATAGATTATCTCTCTGAGTTCCAGAGGAAGTGATGTGAAGAGGCGGCAGTTGTTTTGGGATTGGACATTCGATGGATCTAGGGACCATGCTAGTGGTTGATGGTTTATTTTCGTGCGAGCGCATTGTAGATCGACGTCTTCGGCTGGGGTACTACCAGTGGACTTTGTGTCGCTGGGTGTTGGTTCGTGTGCGGCTTCTTGGGTGGCGTCCAGTTGATCTTGGTAGCGTATGCATTCGTAGCAATTCCCGCATCGATCGTCAGCCATTGTGGTAGTTTGATTATCTTTGCGGATTGATCAACAGGACTGGGGAGAGGTGCACAACAACGATGGGGGCAGGAGGAATGTCTTGTATCGAAGTGGATGACTCAAATGTAGGTGTGTATGGTTGCCTGCATGCAGGCCGATTCAGTTCTTGCAGTTTAGGCGTCCCAGTTGAGGTGGGTATCCGCTATTTGAACACCAGCGAATCAAGTAAAGCGGCTGCTGGGCTCTAGCAACTGCCCAATCGCCTTCCTGACATACTCCTCACCCTCAACCCATCCTCCACCAATAAGCTGCTGAAGCTCCACAACATTACTCATCCTCAACCCTGGGATATGAGCGAAGAGCTTCTCAATCACATCCGTAACACTGCCCTGCGTAATTGCACCAGCAATAGCACGATACATGCCAGACTTACGCGTGTATTTCGCGTCGGAGCAACCAGTCTCTACCATGGCCTCGGCATAGATATCCGCGTACTTCTGAATCTCCCATGTGGGCATGTGGGGTGAGTCAGCGAGAGAAAAGTCCCTATTCCAATCGCGACGGAGGAAGTCGGGTAGTGAAGCATAGCCAATACAGCGAGGGACGGCGAGACAGTTGTCCCAGTCGATGATGCCGGTGACGTTTCCATCGTCATCTACGAGGATGTTCTGTAGATCGAGATCAGGGTGACGGATGACGAACGTCTCGTCCTCGTCGGCGTCTGCGGGATTCTTTTTCGAGACGGCGATCGTGGGGTGGTCGTGAAGCATGTCGATGATCTTGCGCATTCCAGATACCATGTTCAGTATATCTTGATCAACATCGGGATCGTATTCAGGGATCGCAGGCCAGCTCTCCTCCAAGTCCAGCTTCCAGTAGTCCAGATTCTTTTTGAAAGGTCCATATGGGTACACTTGGGTTGGTCCCCCTAGATCCTCCGCAGTGAGTTCGTACGGCGGCTTCCAGCGATATGAGACTGTAGTTGTTGGCGTCGCGCCCAAAGAAAGTGCGTCCTTGCAATCTACAAGACCAACCTCATTGAAGCTCACGTCTCTTAGCTGCGACATACACTGCGCAAGTGAGCGCAGAATATTACGGCGCTTCTTCTCCGTTTGTGGAGAAACGCAGTTGGTGGTGACATGATTGCGATCACTAGGCTTGTCATACCAGACGTTTTGGGCGGCTTTTCCAGGCATGCGCTTCATCAAGATGTATGGTGCGCCGATGAAAGAGGTCTCGATATCTAGAGCGAAGTCAACGACTTCTGGTATCGGGATGGAAGTTTTGTTTCGCAGCCACTGCATCAAGGTCACTTCGCAGCGTAGGTTGTGCTGATCGCCTGGCTGCCACCGGGCTGCAGTTCCAATAGCAGGGACTCTGAAAACATATCGTTCGACAAGACGGTTGGGAGGCTCGTCTTTTACCGCTGCCATGAACACAACGTGATGAAATCCACCATCCCTGCGTTGCGTAACATGGCACTCCTCTAAAGCAATATCGACGGAGCTGTAGCTCTCGATGACCGAATGCAGCAGCTGTCTGAATGCCGAATCAGGAATTGCGTGAATCTTTTCCCAATCAAAGCGAGACATCCCGGCTTCAGATGCATCTGTCCTGACGGTGGTGTCGCGATCGTCCCCAGTGCCAGTATCCGCTTCACTCTTTGCAGTTGTGCATGTATTGCCGTCTTGCGACTGCGTCGTGTTACTCGGAATCAGAAGACTATCATCTTCTTGACATGCTTGTATGTTTCGCGAGGATGCGCTATCCCTTTGCTGGCTACGGCTTGAAGGATCCGAAGGCACGTCAAAGCTCTCCAACATGTCGTTGTGAAGGTTTACTGCCGTCGACGCGTCGCCCGTAACCTCTTTCAGAGAACGAATAATCGTAGTCGAGCCGTTCGTAGTCGTGCAGCTATCGTGGTGATGTACGTTATCGAAGATGGACCCAGCAAGCTTATAAGTCAGAGTCGAGGTGATGGTGGATCGGCTCCCAGCTTCACGAATTGTACGTTTGCCGTCAGTTGCGGTGCTCTCGCAAGCGGTTGATCCTTTGTCTACTTTGTTAAGAACGTGATTGTTTTTCGCAATGTCGACATGGTCATCGGACGACTGCGCAAAGCCTTCATTCGTGATCTGCTGAACACCGGGCTCAGCGATATCGGACCCTCGAAAGATGTCATCAACTTCCCACCTACCACTGGACTCCTGCTCGAGGCTGAGTGTGAGCGGTTCGAGCTGGTACACGTCGTCGCTGGTCTCGGATGTGCGTTCTTCGTGGGTCTTGGGCGAGACGGTTCGACCGTGTTTATAGTGGAACAGTCTCCGCAAAGAAGCCAGCATGCGCGATGCTCTTCCTGATTTGGGAGCTTCCATGGCGTTGAGTGCAGGCGGGATGACGGAAGATGCATTGAGTGTCGTCACCTTTGCTTGACGATTCGGCCATAGGCTTGTGATCTTGTTTAGAATACCCATAGCTAGTAGAGTTGAGTTGGCCACTCGTGATCGTGAGAGGGTAGCAGGTGGTTGAAAGGTCCAAGTGAGAATGTGTTTATGTATTGCAAGAGTCGAAAGCTTTGACCGTATTCTTTGTGATTCACTGCTGCCGGTAAATGCGATCAGGAAGCGGTAGATTGCACTTATGCCTTTCACACGGCCCAGTTCTTGCTGGTTCAAAAGTTCGCAGAATGCCCTGGCTTTACTGTCCAGTATCAGTACGCGCACATTCAACTCCACTGTTGATCAAATACCCAGCCAAAGACATTCCTTGCCCCCTTAACGACCCAATTACAAGATCTCGAAGCTCAAAGTTCTGGTCCGTTACCTTTGAGAATATCTACCATGGCAGTATTCAGTTTGCCCTTCGTACGACTCTATGGGCCCGGTTGGGCTGTCTCCTGGAGTGGCCGTTGTTGCAACATTTGGCGAATGACGTGCGACATGGAAGGGCACCACTGTATAGAGCCTGGATGCGGCACAATCAAGCGCAGTTGCTTCGAGCGGCTACATCTTGCATACTGTTGCGTACCCATTCAGATGGCTAATGGCCAGTGGCGGTTCTGCGGCAACCGATTCGGAGTAGAATCCCCTCATGGTTGCTCATTACACCATTACGGCGAGTATGAAGATAACCGCTTTTTCCAGATGGCGAAGAAGAATTTGGACTATGAGCTCCCGAGCAACTTCCCCCACGAGCAGATCGGATGGCAGATGGACATACCCAAGCTCGGAGATGTCCGCTTTCCGTTCACTATGTGCATGGGTCTGATCAGTGGTCAACCGAGCTTTGTTCGAGTTCTAAAGGTCTCGCCAGACGGTTCGCCCGCTGAGATCTGTGAGATCGTTAAGGTAGCAGATAGGGATTTGCAGCTCACCAAACCCGAGACCAGCAACGACCGTTCCTCGGACGACTCTGCAGAGGCAAATGCAATTCCTCGAAAGCCAGCAGTTCTCCTTAGTATAATCGAGGAGGAAGAGACAAACGAAGAAGCATATAATGACGCCGCCTCTTATATGACCTATAACCATGCTATCAGAGAGGCCAATCGAGAGCGAGAACGGGGATTAAAAGACTCCCAGAAAGCCAGAGCAGCTGAGAAAGCAGCAAAAGCCGCTTCTTCCAAGTCCAGGGCCAAGTTGCAGAAGCCGGAGAGTATGAAAGAGAAAATAGCTGCAGCAAAGCGGAAGAAGAAAGACTGATCAGCGTATCCCGGTTCTGTAAGTACTTCGATTAGACATGGATTTGTTTCCGCGTAGAATCGGCGCAATCCTTTGCTATCGCTGACGAATGTAGTTCCGTAATCAGTCAGCACCCGAACATCGTTTTGCGTTGATAAGAAATCGCAGGCGCTGAGATGCGATATGAATATTGCAGGATGAGCAGACATAGTGGTAACCACTGGCTGCGCTGCGATGCACTGTAGGATCAGCATAAGCTTGGCGAGAGAACCTGGCGTTCATGAGATATTCGCGAGGCATGAAAATCTACTCTTTTCAGAACGCCTTAAGCGTACAGAATCAGTTTGTGGTGAATGAAATGACCCCTCATATGTCTCGGTGCTTTTGATGAGGCATGGTGTTCGGTGATGAGATGAGGATGAGGTTCGAGTTGGAAGCGTGGGAAGGAACTATGGAGCATTGACCACCAAAGCGTGGCGCTGACTAATTACCGATCGCCGAGCTCATTGTTACGCGCATCCGCATTGGAGATGCGTCTTACCCTCCGCGTTTTGCTGACTTCTGTCATTTTCGACTGTCGGTGCGCTTGCTCATCTCTTGTGTCTATCAACACGACCACTTGATGTCGGGCTGGCCATCATCGTGTCAAGCTTCATACCTACCGTTCACCTTTGCCACCGATGGCGAAACAAAACCTGGCCCTGAAGTCTAGCCTGAGCATGCGCGAGCTTTATGCTACGAGCATATTTGAAGAACCCAATATAGCCTTCCGCGTATCTGTGGGAACTGTAACTTCGTGGACACAAAAGCGAAATG